GTTTTAAAAGATACAAGACAGAAGTAGAAAGGAAACTTGGAAGATATATTAAGGTGTTAAGAACTGATAGAGGTGGAGAATTCAACTCAAAGGAATTTAAAAACTATATATTGCACTCATTATGGTATTAAGAGACATACCACTATGCCTTACACGCCACAACAGAATGGTGTGGCTGAAAGAAAAAATAGAACATTGATGAATGCAGTGAGATATATGCTGTCATATTCTGGTCTCTTCAAGGATTTTTGGGGAGAAGCAGTATTGACTGCGAATTATATTTTGAATAGGATTCCCACAAAATCAGTCGAGTCAACACCGTATGAGATTTGGAATGGACACAAACCTGAATTAAGTCACTTAAGAAAATGGGGTTGTGTTGCACATGTTCTCATTCCATATCAAGTTAGAGATAAGCTGGATCTCAAAACCTTAAAGTGTAGATTTATAGGCTATTCTGAAAAGTCTAAAGGATATAGGTTCTTCCATGAAGAGAAAGGGGTCATTGAAAGTAGAGATGCTACTTTTCTAGAAAATCTAGAGGAAAAGGAACAAGTTCAAGAGGCAATACAACCTCTGTTAGACTTAGATGATGTTCCCAACGATGACCTGGACATAGTGGATGAAGTAAATCATCCAATAATGGAAGATGAGCCCTTAAATGAGAATATGCCTATGGAAAATCAACCAGCTGAACCTGTCCAACCTGTCAACCTTAGTGGTAATAAAAGACCCAGAACAACACCTGCATGGATGGATGATTATTATCTGTATTCATGCGAACCATCCTGTTTCTCGGTAGACATTGACATAGATGAGCAAGCTGATCCCTTGAATTATGTGGATGCTATGAACACACATGAATCAGAACAATGGCTGGAAGCCATGAAAAGGGAGCTTGACTCAATAGAAAGAAACAATGTATGGGAGCTATGTGACTTACCAGAAGATAGGAAGTCCATAGGATGCAAATGGGTGTTAAAGAAGAAATATCGGGTTGATGGGTCTATTGATACATTTAAAGCCCGTTTAGTTACTAAAGGTTTTACTCAGAAGGCAGGTATAGATTATCAGGAGACTTACTCTCCGGTGGCTAAGTTTGCTTCTATAAGAATTATCTTAGCAATTGTTGCACATCTTGACTTGGAACTTTTCCAAATGGATGTCAAGACTGCATTCCTCAACGGAGAGTTGAAGGAAGTAATATATATGAATCAACCTGAGGGATTCCAGGTTGAAGGACAAGAAAACAAAGTATATAAATTAAAGAAATCTTTATATGGTTTAAAACAATCATCTAGACAGTGGTATCTCAAATTTCATAATACTGTTATCCAGCTTGGTTTTGTTGCAAATAAATTGGATAACTGTGTATATGTCTTGAAGAGTGGCAGCAGTTTCACAATATTATCTCTGTATGTAGATGATATTTTGCTGGCTGGAAATGACATAGAAGTGCTGAACAGAATCAAGTCAGCACTTAGTAGTGAATTTGAGATGAAGGACATGGGAGATGCATCCTATGTTCTTGGTATACAGATCCTTAGGGATAGAAAGTCTAGAATGTTAAGTCTTAATCAAGAAAGGTATTTGCATACGATACTTAGAAGGTTTGGGATGCAGAATTGTAATCCTGCAGTTAGTTTATCAAGCAGATTCGCTTGAGGTTCTTGGTTACTCTGATGCTGATTTCGGAGGAGACAAAGATGACGGGAAGTCCACTTCCGGACATTTGTTCATCTTTGGTGGTGCAGCTGTTTCTTGGGGTAGTAAGAAACAGGGATGTGTGGCAAGATACACACAAGAAGCTGAGTACATAGCCTGTAGTATGGCCACTACTCATGCAGTCTGGATAAGACGGTTCCTAAAGGACTTGGATCTCAATTTGGTGGATGGACCAATTGAGATATACTGTGATAATCAAGCAGCCATCAGCTTGATCAACAGTGGTGCAAACAGTTCTAAAGGAAAACATATTGAGATACAATATCATTATATTCGTGATATTGTGGAAAAGGAAGAAGTCTGTGTGACTTATATTCCTACTAGTGATATGATTGCTGATCCCTTGACGAAGGGTATCCCAGCAGGTACATTCATCAAACATGTTAGTTTGATGGGACTTAGAAATGTCTAAGTCAAGGAAACTTTCATGAAAAATGAAAGGAGACGATCATGGATAATGGTTGTACTCGGTTTATTCACGTAGAGTGAAAAGTGTATATATCCCATGGATAGTGGGAGTATGAAATTACATCTTGAGTCACATCTCACGGATAGTGGGAGTGTATGCTCAGAAAATATTTGGCCATTTCGGCCAAGTGGGAGATGTAAGTGGATTTGGCCTCATGGGCCGAAATTATTACCCGACCGTTGTTTACGTGATCTGGCTGTTAGGGAATATCTCATATTCTATGGGATATTCTCTAATCAACAGCAAACGTTACGGAGAAATATGAGGAAAACGTAAATAACGGAGGAAAATCAGGCAGGAATTTGGGGACGGAGAAGGGGATTAGAAAGCCTATATATAGAGAGGAATACCTCACCTCTGAATTATCTCAAAACACAAATCTTCACCGGAGTCCCCAAATTAATCCCCATCTTTCTTTCAATATGGTGGTCCTAAGAACAAGAGGGTTGACCGGCGGCGGCTTGAATATGCAAGGGAGGAGGAGACGACAGCTATGGGATGGCTAGGGTTTCAGATTTTCAAACTCTGCTCTAATACCATGAAGAAACAGGTAAGTTTGGAAAGCTTTCCTTTTGATTTCTAATTAATCAATTTTGTACAAAAGCATTCCGGGTATATATAACAAAGTCTTGATTCCTAAACCTGGTAAAAAGATATGTTAGGTAAGTCCTAGATAAGGTAGGATATCTCCTAATTATGATACACCAAATATATACAAATCAACAATATTTATATACAAAATACCGTAACGTGCAATATATACATCGATACAACGTATGTGATAGGGATGGAGCTTAAGATGACTCTCACAGGGTAATCCTCTAAGAATTGTCCAGATTAAAATCTTACTTTGGGCTAATTGCACTGTTTTAATCATTTCCTTGAATAGTCTAGACATCTCGATAATATGTAACTCTCTTCTAGAGTTAAAAGAAAATTGATCACCTCTGTTGGCCATTCTTCACATCAAATTTGATTTCTGATTTAGTGTCATTTTTGCACTGACTTTGTGCTGACAAGGACAAAATGCAAGTGGTGTTAGGCATAATTGTATTGAATTTGTAAGGCCTTTTGTACCTGAAGTAGGCCAAAGACAACTAATCCTAAATTTCAGGATTGAAGTGTTGAGAAAATTGGGAACACAAAGAATAAGCTTTGGCATGTCCCAGCATGATTATTGACAGATGAACAACTTAATTTCCTAAAATAGAGGGTAAATCAACATTATACCCTTAATAATAACTAAAATTTAGCACGCATAAAAGATAAAATAACTTGCCAAGTACATAGGAAACTTAGGCAAAGTCATGCACTGGGTTCGGCTCTGATTGGATTTGGATTGGATTCGCGTGTAAATCTGGATTGGATTCGTGTGTAAATCAGTTTCCACATCAAATATGCATTTATCAAGCCAAGCTAAATCAAAATCTAAAAGATGTGCAACCAAGTCGTCAAATTCGAGTCGAACGTAACTCAAATTGCGTTTCTAGATTAGACTTGCTGTGATTCTAAGTTACATCTGCTAAATATGTGGCTAGTAAGATTTGAACTCTGAAGCTTATGGGGGCGACAACTGAGGGCTACAAATTTATGAGCAGCCCATGCAAACTATTTCTTAGCATGTAAACAAATCACTAAAAGTTGCACTTCTAGGTGCAAAGTGTTGATACCCATCACTTCCCACGTGCAGAGTTAGGCCAGTGTCCTGCAATTGTAAGGACAAGTACCCTTGGCCTCCTCATAATTACACTAGGCCCCACAGAGCCCGTCAACAATCCAGCTCATGAAAACACCAATAACTCCAAATAATAGTAATTATTATTATCAAAGAAAAGAGCAAACAACAAGGCCGAGTTTCAAACGTCTGTTACTGCGCGTCTTGTTTAGGCCCACGGACCCGTACGCTCGACCCAAGTACCCCCCCGGTTGATTCCCTTTAAGCGACCCATAAATTTATTGTAGGGTAAATTTCACCAAACCTCCCTAAAGTTTCGGACTATTTTTTTAATGCAACTATCCCAAAGTTCAGGGGTTTCCGGAAATTTTCCCTTTATTTTAGGATTGTTTTAATGACCCCAAATCCATAGGACTTTTTTATGATGGCTTATTTAATCTCAAACTAGGACAAGTAGACAACTTTATCAAGTTAATTTTTAGTGCCGAGGAACAATTTATGGGAGTTCCTGTTTAAATTAAGATAATTTAGTAATTTGCTTAGACAATTAGATCAAGTTGTAATATAACAAAACGCTTAGTTACTAAAAACTTTAGGGCATTTAAGGGCCAAGTTTAAAAACTTTAAGGTATTTAAGCGTTGTCAAAGAAAGAGAGTATGCATAATCGCAAAATTTTAAAAAATTTTAGGATACATAAGTGCTGTCAAAAAAAAAAAAGTAAGGGTATACAAATGCGAAGTAGCGGAAACTATAGGGTGTTCGAGTGCAATTAAGGCGAAAAATTGAAAATATCTACGTAGGGGGGGGTCACATATGAAAAACAAAACTCTTCGCTTGTAATGATATCCTTTTGGGCCGAGAGCTTAAAGGCGAGAGAAATCTGCACCGAACCGTACGGCACCCTACCGGGGCCCACCCATATCGTTGCCACGTCAGAAATGGTCGGCGTGTCCTCCTCCTCTAATCTCGTCATCTCTACTCTTCTAGAGCCCCTTTCCTCTTTTGGCCTCTCTCTCTCTCTCTCTCCTCTCTCTTATTTCTGGCGGCAGTCAACGCTTTTTAGAGAGAGAGAGAAAGTTGAGGGTTTTGGATCTCTTGAGGGAGAGGGGGGAGAGAGATGGGGAAGAGCGGGAGCGGCGGCGGGGGGGCGGGAGCGTGAGGCGGAGCGCCCACTACACGGTGTCGCCGGCCGACTACAGGCTGATGGAGGAGGTTGGATATGGCGCGAGCGCGACGGTGTACAGGGCGATCTTCCTGCCGGCGAAAGAGGTCGTTGCTGTCAAGTGCTTGGATCTCGATCGATGCAACAGTAACCTAGTCAGTTTCTGAATCCAATTGTTGTTATCTTTCGGCGAATTGCTTGGATCTTGAGCTGATCTATATCTAATTGTTAGCGTAAGATTGTGATTGAGCGATCTGAAGTTGGAAAATTTGATATCGAGCTTGGATTCTGGCCTCACGACCTTGACTCTGAAGCGTGCTCTTTCGAATTTGAAGTGTTGCCTATCCAATCTGAACACTGCTAGGCTAGGTGATTTGTTATTTTTAGATTGGGGTTGAACCTGGGTGGGAACTTTAATTTCGGATTGAAGCGAGCCCTACTCTGGAAATTTGATTTTGAGCTTGAATTCTAGCCATTTGTGCCCTCGAATCATAAAGTGAATCTTCAGCTTACACTGCACAAAATGGGCTATGGTCTTCTAGCTGTCCACGGTGGGCTTAGTAATTTGTTATTATTAGATTGGGATTGAATCTGTGTTGGAATTTAATTTGCGATTAAGCCAGCTGAATTTTGAAAATTTGATTTTTTTAGCTTAAAGTACTAGCTATTTCTGCCCCCGGATCATCACAAATTAACTATGATCTTATAGCCAATTTTGCCTTTGAACCATCTGTTAACTTTCTTGGAGAAAAAGCAACAACAAAGCCTTTGTCACTGGGAAAATCCCTTGAAAAATCACTTACTCAACCACCCTTTTACCCCCGAGTTATGCCATATCATTGGGGGATAAGTTATACTTAAATCAAAATGAAGTTGTTAGCCGATGGCTCTGAGCATTTTTCTTTGAATTCTAGTTGTGGTAATTCAGATGAAAGGAGGAAAATCATGGAGAACAAACATTAAAAGCTCATGTTCAAGTCTCTTTTTCCCCCGGGCCACAGTTTAGGTGTTCTACATGTCTTTTTGCAGATTCAGTTTAGTTATGTGCCTTTGTCCTCAGGATATGTCCCCCCCCTTAACTTCATTATAAGTTTTAGTTCTCGTTAGATCTCCTATGATGACCCAAGTCTGATTATCTAGTTGCCCTTTAGTCTGGGTGAATATTATGTGTTATTTGTGGCTAATGGTTTAGTTCAAACTAGAAAGTGATTGATAGGAGAAACAGAATTTAGTTGTCGGATTCTAGTATGATTTATGATTTTTGGTTTACGTTATTTCTGTTAAGCTGTTTTGTGTGCATTGCTCATCTATTCTCCCATTGATAGTTGGAGATTTACTTTAGGATTTAGGGAGGTTGTATTGCTCTTTGTCGGTTTGTAGAGTCTAGCAATCAAAATAATTTGGGTGCTTGTGTATTTGCACAAGACCTCAAGATTTTCAGTATATAGTTAATGTGTCACCACCTACCCCCTTACACCCCCGCGGCCTTGTTGTGATGTGTTGAGCACTTTTTTTCGTTGTCTTTTTTAGAGATCTTAGTAGCAAATTCCCCCTAAATCCTGATCTTCAATATACTTAAAGCTTTGGCACATCATCAGGGTACAAATCTTAGGATACATCTGTTCAGACCAATATTTTCCTAACACCTCCTTTATACCCTGTGAATCATAAAGAAAATTATTTTTCTCCTACTTGTATAGTGGTACAGTACATGACTGCGTCATGTAGTAGGCCTGGTTCATGTTTTTCCTCACTGATCCAATCATACTCACTGTGGTTACTTTGGTCTGCAGCATAGTTTACTTATGCCTTATGGTTGACTAAACATTTAATTTCCATATTTGTTTTGGCATATATTTTTGTGCACAGACATTTTATTTTTTATTTTCATTGATTTTTTTTTCTCATATGTGTGACAAGTTATTGGAACTCAATGTAGGATGACATACGAAGGGAAGCCCAGACAATGAGTTTGATAGACCATCCAAATGTCATAAGTGCATATTGCTCATTTGTTGTTGACCATTCACTATGGGTTGTCATGCCATTCATGGCAGAGGGCTCATGTTTGCACCTTATGAAGATATCATATCCAGATGGATTTGAGGAGTCTGTTATTTGTTCTATTCTTAAAGAAACACTCAAGGCTCTGGAGTACCTTCATAGACATGGACATATTCATCGTGATGTCAAGGTCAGTTGCGAAGCAGCTTGTGCTAGATCAAAAATCTTACAATGTTTCCTTGTTCAATGACGCTTTTAACTGCAGGCTGGGAATATCCTTCTTGATAGTTCTGGAATGGTGAAGCTTGGTGACTTTGGTGTTTCAGCTTGTATGTTTGATAGGGGTGATAGACAACGCTCGAGAAATACCTTTGTAGGCACGCCTTGCTGGTAAGCATTTTAAGTGCTTTGTGTTGTTATTCTGATATATTGTTATAAGCTCTCTTAATTTCATGAAAAATTCCATGATTTCGTTTTCAATAGGATGGCTCCTGAGGTCTTGCAACCAGGAAGTGGATATAATTTCAAGTGAGTCTTACTCCCAATTTAAATAGCATGGTAATAAATGTCTACTTAATTGAAAAGCAATCCGTTATGCAATTAGAAGTGTTCTACATAATACTCTTTTTCCTGTTAAGATTCTCTTTATGTGCTAGTTTTGTCTAATGTAACTGTGAAAGAAGTAGATGGAACTAAACAAAGAAAATCTTTATTTTGAAGAGAATGGCTTGCTTTGGCTATTTCTGTATTGGAACCCCCAGTTAATGAAGATTGTAGTAGATTCTCACTTTAAGATGAATGGCAGCATGTATTGCAATAGCAAGTCATGCTTAAAACTATTTAGGAATTTGTACAAGTTAACATGTAACTTTGGTGCCAGATGTAAATGAATGAAATTAGTCAGAATTCCAAACATAATATACAAGAAACAGCTATAATGAACAAATTAACAGAATATGTACAAATTAATGTGAAACAGGAAAAAACACACAAGAACTCATCGAAATCTACCCCATTAAAGCGGGATCTAGATCATTTCAAACATCTAAGAAAAATGATGCTTTGCTTCAATCAACACTTTAAGGCGTAACATTTTCTGATCACACTTAAAACTCTTATGCACCAACATTTGTTTTATCTCAAACAATTTACATTGTCAGACTAATCCAATTGTCAGGTTATGTCGTGTCTTTAAAACATATGAATGTTGCTTATGAAATTAATACTCAGCATGGTGCTCATGATTTTGGTGTCTATGCATATTGTCAGAGCTGACATTTGGTCATTTGGAATAACTGCTCTTGAGTTGGCACATGGTCATGCTCCTTTTTCAAAATATCCTCCAATGAAGGTATGTTTTTTTGGTTGATGGTGTAGTTGATGGTCTCTCTACAATATCTTACAAGTTAATCTCTAAGTGTATGATATGGCCCTTTTTGATGAAGTCTACGTATTATTACATAATCTGCTTTCCTTGTATCTGTTTTCTAAGTTATATAACAAAGTGATCAATCGAGAACTTTTCTGTTTCCAGTTCTTTTGGCTGGAAAAGTATTGCCACAATTCACAAGCCCTAGACTTTTAGGCCTTCTTTTCCTTTTTGTGAGTGCATGCATGTAGTACTGTGTCCTATTCGTCATAATTTGAGCCCCAACAACATCAACACTACTTACAGAAATTGTGTCTAAATCTATGAGAAACACTCCATCTAGTTCGAAAGTCGCAACATTGTTCATGCTCTTTATCTATAACATCTAAACTCATGAAAGTAGAAGATGGAACATTATGGAACTTCCTTCCCTATTTGCTGTGTGCATATGGAAATAGCAAGAGGTGACATATTATGAGATTATAGTATAAAAGCATGTGCACCTTACTTTTCCCTAATAAGATGTGAATTGATTTTAATTGAGGATCTGATTAGGAGTTCTACAACAGTTTACTTCTTGAATGCATAACCCACCCTCGGAAAATCTTGATAATGTACTTTTATTCAAGGCACCATAAATCTAATCCTTATTATAGCAAGATTTGTGGGTGATGACAGTGATAAGTTGATGCTGTAAGAATGGTAAAACTTAAAGGTTCCTTTTTTTAATTTCAGAACCAACTATGTAACTATCAAGAGCATGAATAACCAAGCTAGTTGTTCCTATATCAATTAATTATATGATGAAATTCTTGGACGAAGTCATCCTTCGGAGGATGATCTGGCAAGTAGTTTTCCACTCAGTTCAATATGAAGGATGCCAGAAAGGAAATTTAACCACTCAGTTTGATATGAAGGATGCCAGAAAGGAAATTTAACCACTCAGTTTGATATGAAGGATGCCAGAAAGGAAATTTAACCACTTATAGCTCGAGGCTCAGGTCTAGTGGGGATCCATGCTCACTTGCATCGTAATTTTTTGGCAGTGGCCAGATATATGAACTTAAAATAGGAGAGCTGCAGTGACAAATATCATCCAAGTTTTATTTCTATTAGGTCAAATTCTAGAACGTAGTATAGAAAAAGTAACAAAAGCATGACCATTATTTACAGCTACTATAATTGTCATTCTTCGTGCATGAGTATGTGCCTCATTTCTGGTCAAGATCATTTTGAGAAAGTGGTCTTACCATAAAAACCTAGATCTAGAAAGTCAACCGGAAGTAGGCTTGCCTATGTTATCTGGTCAAGCAGTTTTAAGTTTAAACACTTATCCTATAACCAAGGAGTAATTCTCCAAATTCTGGTAGACTACACAACTGTTATAATTCAGATGTTAGCTGATCAGAGTGAACGAGGAAAGTGTATTGCCATCACAGAACAAGCAGGGATTTATGGTTTCTTGTCCTAGAATGATAGTCATGATGTCAATTTTTATGCCAGAGCAATCTAGTAATAAATTGTAGTACTGTGTAAATCGCAGCCAGTTACTGCATGTTAGTATCTCTAAAAGCATGGTGGCCTTTATTAAGAATGATTTTGGTGTATGAGTTAAACTTAACTTCAGTGTACCACCAGCCTCAAAATTTTCATCTTCCTCTAGGTTCTCCTGATGACCCTTCAAAATGCTCCTCCAGGACTTGACTATGATCGGGATAAAAGATTTTCAAAGGTACGGCCTGTCTTATTGGCTAATAAAAGTTTATGATTATCGTTCATGATCTTGGTAGAGTTACCTGTTTTTTCAATAATTCTTATGGTATATATCCGCGCATGGTATTTAATGGACCCTTGCTTTGACATTTACACTCGTGAAACAGAGTGAGATTGGCTGCTTGTAGAGTGTTTCTGTATTATTGGATACCTTTCTTCTATTACTGTTCTAATTAAGGACCTTCAGTTGTAATCAGTCTTTTAAAGAAATGGTTGCAATGTGCTTGGTGAAAGATCAAACAAAGAGGCCAACAGCAGAAAAATTGTTAAAACACTCCTTTTTCAAAAATGCTAAGCCTCCAGAGCTGTCTGTGAAGACGCTTTTGGCTGACTTGCCACCTCTTTGGGACCGTGTGAAGGCACTCCAGGTTAGCCACCTTTTAAGGAAATGTCTGTTGTTGTTTCTTTCAGTTATAATTTGGCACATTCTTGTATCAAAATTTCCACACTCTGCAGCTTAAAGATGCTGCACAGCTGGCTATGAAGAAAATGCCATCAGCTGAACAAGAAGCACTATCAATGGTCAGTTGTTTCGTCTTGCTAAAAATAATGCTTTGAACTATATTCTACAGGAAGCCGATACTAGCTATTTATCTGATTATTGATGCTGGACCTGAAAATGTTCATAAATGAGATGTCTTAAGTTAGTAGACCTAGTTGTATTATGAACTGCTTGTTTATCGAATATTTTTCCAGTTCCCCAACATCTATTAGTTAACATGCAAATTTTAAGTGGTGATCTTTTGTGTGATGTCAAGTGCCCGGGAGAAAAAGCATTAATATTATTTCTTGTTGAGCTGGCTATGAGCAGTGTTATTCACTCCTAGTTTTATGATTAACAGAGTGAGTACCAGAGAGGTGTAAGTGCATGGAATTTTGATATTGAAGACTTGAAAGCTCAAGCATCCCTGGTATGTCTCTGTGGATGCATGTTCTTCCTGGATTCTGCATAATGTTAAATTATGCTGTTTTAAGAAATTTCTAGTTCATATTGAGTATTTTAAAATTTTGCTAACGCTTTAAGATGTCTAATAGATTCAGGATGATGATGACTTTTCTGAAACCAAGGAAGATGATGGTAGCATGAGAGGATTTACCAACAACAAGGTATTCTAATTTCCCTCTTCTTGGCAAAGAATTTTATGTAGTTCTTGCATGTCATTCTGCATGCTGTTTAAATCTCCTTATTCCTTCCTTACAAAGACCTATTGCTGTTCTATTTTTTGTGATTTTTAAGTAATTGATTTTATATGCTGATCTGATGCTGCTTGTGTTATTATTGACTTTTAATATTATTGTCAGGATCCATCTACTTCCAGATCTATTTTTGGGAAAACATCAGTTACTGATGAAACCAATTGCAGGTGAGCTATCTCCTATACCTAAATCAAATTTCTCATTTGAGCACGTTGGATTCATGATCCGAGCTTTCTTTTAATAGTTATGTGGACAAATTTATGTTTTTGTATTTGCACTTCTTTTGTAGCTGTCACGTCCCGCTTCCCAAAATACCCGGGAATCGGAACGTGAACAAGCCCGCGACGTATTAGATTGAGAAGAAATATACACTATTATTTTTTTTCTCTTTTCTTTTCTTCTCAATCCAATACGCTAAGCGTCAAAAATATAATATACGAAGTCACAGGTCCCCGATCACACATAGCAAGAATATAATGACAACCCAGAATAAGAAATAAACATATCATCAACAGTAAATCATCCCAGACATGAAAATATGGGTCAAACATACCTTTATTATAAAATAGTCCAACTAGGAAATAAGAAATACATAGTCCATAAAGAAAATACTGTTAAAATACTAAATCCAACATCAACTAAAGAAAAGTACGGTAAAAGAGTTTTAATGTCCAATTACTACTACGAAAGAAAACCACTACGCTTCAGCTGGTTCTTCTACTCCTTCTGCAAGGCACCCGGCTGAGAATCATCTGGCTCCTGTACGATTCCGAACTGAGGCTGTCTGTCTCCTAAATCTGACGTACACCCAGAAAATAGGAGTACGTCAGCGTGTATAACACACGGCAAGATCCCCCAAGCCAGGGACAAATACAATAACAGTAATGATAACATATGCGTGGTCAATGCGATAACAGAAATAGAAATAGAACATGTGATGATAGTAATAACGATAGAGGCATGCAACTGGAATACTAATAATCAGAAGAATCCAAAAATCAACCAAGTAACAAGATCATGCAGGTAGCGATCAAAAAATATCCAAGCAACAAGGTCATACAATAGATGGAATTAATACTTAAAAATCTACAACTCGAGACGTAGTACGTCGAGCGAAATAATCCAAACAAGGAAACCCTCATGTATATACCATATGTCTCAAATTGTAAATAATTAAATATTAACCCCGATCTATGTATGGAAAGAAATACAACTGATCTACGTCTCACAAGAATCATACTTAGCCAAGAATCTAAGTCATGTAACTAGTCATCCTATAACAGGTCACTGGCTCATATTATCGAATAACTGATAGATCGCGATCACAAATATCCCAACTCCTCGGACCCACCCCGGTGACTACACAAACTTCACCGGCGCGAGCCCGGAATGCATAAACATCTCAACTCCTCAGACCCATCCCGGTGACTACACAAACTTCACCGGCGCGAGCCTGGAATATCGCGATCACAAATATCCCAACTCCTCGGACCCACCCCGGTGACTACACAAACTTCACCGGCGCGAGCCCGGAATGCATAAACATCTCAACTCCTCGGACCCACCCCGATGACTACACAAACTTCACCGGCACGAGCCCGGAATACAACCACAATCACAAATATCTCAACACCTCAGACCCACCCCGGTGACTACACAAACAGCCCGGAATACAACCACAATCACAAATATCTCAACACCTCAGACCCACCCCGGTGACTACACAAACTTTACCAGAGTGAGCCTAGAATACCAAACAATCACAAATATCTCAACTCCTCAGACCCACCCCGGTGACTACACAAACTTTACCGGCGTGAACCTGGAAAATACATCAACCATCACAACTACTCACATGGACCAAGACTTCTCACCCAAATTCTCATAATTCCAGGTCAACTACACACAAGATTCTAGATCATTCTCATAATTCCAGGTCAACTACACACAAGATTCTAGATCCTAACTGTGTCATACAGGTCACTATAGTCATGTACTTCTCATGATTCTCAACATGGAATAATAAATATAATTACACTAAGTGTCAAAGTCATAAAGTATGAACAGGGGTCGTGATCACATGCAAGAAACATACGAAAGTAAAGCTACTATTAACAATGCAACGTGAAACTACCATTAACAGATGTTTTGCACATGAAAATCGAAATCTCAGTTATTAGCAGTGTTTTAAATATCGGCCGCCATGGCGGACATGGCGGCCGATATTGCGGTTTTGTTGCCTAGCCGATACGAAATCGCTGATTTTAACTCGTATTGCGTTTTTGGGGTCATGGCGGGGATATATCGGAAAAAATCGGACATTGCGGGCGCCATTTCGGGGATCAAAAATCGGCCAACTTTGTTAAATATCGGTTTTAGGCTTATTGGGTCGAATTTGAACCCGACCCGACCCAATAAGCCATATTAGTGATCCATTTATGATATTATGTAGGTCAAGCATTCGGATGGTGTTAATATGCACTCGGGAATCAGGTGTCTACAATTGGTTAGTGATCCTAACATCAATAATCATATGTTTAGACAATATAATTATCAAGTATGTGAAGATTCCATTTATGATATTATATCAACCTATCCGATATGGCAATCCGATATTTTTTTCATGTCCCCCGATATATCCCCGATTTCCGCTATCCGACATGAATTTTGGCCGACCGACATGAACCCGACATCCGACATTTAAAACATTGGTTATTAGTTCTAACAATAATTTCCTTTAAAGTTCTCTCATTATAAAATTCTAAAATGATCTTCTTAAAATATATTCTATTATTATTTATGAACAGTAATACTTTTTAATTTATATATGATTTCTATGATATTTTATAAAATAATCTAAAATACTCTTTTTCTCAAAATAAAATTCTTTTAATTATAACAATTATTCAAAAATACTCCATATCCAAAATAAATTATTTTCTCGAAATAATTCCTTTTAAAATATTTTCCTCATTATAAATCATTCTAAAAAATTTTCTGTAATTACATTTTTTCCTTCCAAACATCACGAAATTAAACATAAACTATTTTTGACATATCTATTCATCACTTATAGCATCGTTTCGCAGAATATAATCACACAGTATCAACAACTCACGCAAATGATCACGTTATAACATAATCTAGCATAGTTAAATCAACGTATATAATTAATAAATTCTTAATGTATCAAAAAATAAATAGACAAGATGATGAGCAAGAGGGATCTTGCCTCGGGTAACGTCGAACGAGTCGACGTCGTCGTGCAAGTCCTCGGCGAGCGTCGGTGTGACGGCGGCGAGTTCGTCGGAGGAACTCGACGACGAAGGCTGTAGGCGGATCCGAGGAGGCAACGAAGTTGGCGTTCGTCAGGCGGAGCTCAACGGCGAGGAGGTCGGCAACTGTGGACGCTGATGGGCTGGTTGGCGACGGCTCGGACATTACGAGAGGAGGCAGATTGGGGCGGCGCGGATCTGAAAGTCGGCGGGCGCCAGGATCTGGAGAGGCGCGCGCTGAGGTGGTCGTCGGGCGGCGGGGCTTCGGGCGGCGGTGCTGGAGCTCGTGGCGAGGAGGCCGAGGGGAGCAGAGGGGGCCCTGCGTGGGGTTGAGAGAGGCGGAAGGGATGCAGGTAGAGGCGGCGCTGCGAGGACCTTGGACGCTGGTCGGAGCGTGAGAGCGACGGCGCCGCCGTTGAGGTCGGCAGCAAGGTGCAGTGGCTCGGTGGGCGGCTTGCGGGGCGGCGGTTGGCGGCAGGTCGGTTCAGACGAGCGCGGCGGTGCCGCAAGGATGAAGGATGGCGCGCATTTTCGTCGCGGCCGCGTCGCGCGGCTTCGCGGCTTTAGTAGGAGCGGGGAGAAGAGGAGGGGAAACTGGAGTTGGGTTTTGTGAACGAGAGAGAAGGATGAGGAGGATCTGATGTGGGTTCTTTTGAGGGGAGAGAGAAGAGAGAGATGATGGGTGTGATGGTCGGTGAAGTGAGAGAGAGAGGGAGACTGATGAAATAATAAGAGAGAAAGGAAATGTGAGCTGGAGTTGAGAGAATTATTGAAGAGAGAGAAAGTGAATATTTTAGGGGATTTGAAAGGAAGAGATTGGAGAGAGAAAAAGAAGGGGACATGATTGAGAGGAGTACGGGTGATATTAGGGGATTTGAAAAAGATTGGAGAGAGAGTGTGTATTATTGGAGAAAGAGAGGAATTTACGTGATTAAAGTTGAAATGAGATCAACGTGGTTGAGGAGTGATTGGAGAGTGATTAAGGGCTGATTGGGAAATTGATTAGGGAGATTATGGTAGGAATTCAAATGAGAGAAAATTAAGGGGGAAGAAGATTATAGAAATATTTATTTATTTATTCATAATATTTAAAAATAATCATTATAATAATAATTAACCATATAATAATATTAATAAATAATTAACAGCTAAATATTTATATATTTACATATGTACTAATGTACTAAGCTCAGGTTTACATTAATAATAACAAGGTCACTAATAATATTAGCCATCAAATGATTATATATAAAAAAAAATCATTAAACCATAAATTAATATTTAGCAGAATTAATAAATACAAGACTATATATTTTATTATTTATTTATTTTGAAAACTCAGAAAATTTCAGAAATTAGGAAAAATATTAATAAAATATAATATAATATTTTAAATACTAAAAAATTGTTTAAATACGTATCGAAAAATTACGGTTGTTACAGTAGCATTTATACGATAGTATTAGTAGTATTGTAATGCATTCAAGGAGTGCAAGACGGTTCAAGGAAAATTTTCTGCTTCATATGTTATGGCTCTGGCTTGTGCTGACTGCTTTTAGTTCTTTCAATTGATGTTGATAATTGTGTATCTCGAGTTTATCATGCTTCTTTCCATTTAATTTCTTTCAGAATGCAGCTTGTGGTTATTTTATGATATTGGTAAGTTAGATCTAAAGAAATAGTAAGTTAGGTAAAGATGAAAAAAAGAAATAAATGCATCATCTATCTTGAATGAATTTTCTGGCTTGTCAGTTAAACTGGTAAACACGAGCACTTGAAATATGATTTGTTCAGAGTGGAAGGATCAAGAAGGATAATTTCTCTGTAGAAATTTGAAATTCAAGAAGAAACCCAAAGAGAAATCAATCTGAGGATGCTTCAAGCCATGATCATGCTCACTGACACTTGTGTAGGTGTGACATTATTATTGCACGGAACAAGCCATGAAATATCATGAGCATTTAACCGTCAATATTGTCTTCAAAGTGAAATTGTATAGACAGCAAAGACCTGCTGTGAATATTGTCTTGTTCACCATGGAAGTTAGTATGGAATTAAGGGGTTCAATTTTCATGTAGAATTGGAATTTACCCTCAAAACAAGTGAGTTCCCATGGAGATAATCCTACATTACCATCAATGTACTCAAAGCATGTTGAATAACTTCTATATTTCCAGTTACATCCAACTAAACACGTGATGATTTGAAATTCAGCAGATCAGAGCATGCCTATCAAAACATGAGCTTATATGCTTTTTCCGTGATTCTAAATTCATTAGTTTGAAGAAGTCATGTAATTGCAACTTGTTTCCACTGAATGAGCTGTAATAGGTAAGATGATAAGATTCACTATCGAAAATCATATCATCGTGGAGGTAGACTCCTAGTAGGCACAAGCAGGGAATTGGCATGAAATCTTTCATCTATCAGCACTTAGAAGATTCAGTGGGCATTAGTGTAAGACCAAAAGATTGTTTTCTTCAGCTCTAGAATTAAAAAGATTAAAAAAAGTCCAATGTTGTCGCTGTTGCCTCTTGCCATTTAGAAAATATCATTCTATGTGAAAGTCTGTAGGCTGGTCCTAGGTGAATAGAGTTGACAAATCAATTAAACAAGGTTCAAGTAGTTTCCCTGTACCATAGGTTTCTCTTGATTCCTACTCATTACCCCAAATTTCAACTCAAACTTTGGCCTGATAAATCCGATATTTAGAGCCTCTATTATCGGCCGATAAGTACCTATATCGCCGATAAACCCCAAAAAACGATAACCGATTAAAAATTCCTACTTATCCTAGCGGAAAGCTCCCAAATCCGATAACTCGGCGATAATATCGGATTATCGGCTGATATTTAAAACCTTGGCAGCTTGCTCCTGTTTAGTGGTTGGTCTTCTTTTTTTTTGTTTGTAATCTCTTTTCAGTTTGATACAGATACTGTTACATGCATGAAAGTACAACTTCATCCCTCGTCTATAATTTAAACTACTTCACTCTCAATTCTGAATGAGTACACATGTAACAGTATCACGAGGAGTTAAATGTTCGGTCTGAAAATCAATGTGAACATATAAGTCTTTCTAAATACACTTTCAAGGTGTGTACAAAATGCTGTTATTAGAATGGTAAAAAGCTCTGAAAATTCCATTCCACATCATATGAAAGCTCGTGAATATTAGCAAACAACATGGTAAACAGGTCTCCTAATTTCAACTGAGTTGGAGTATGAAAATCACAATTTTACATTGTTTATAAAAGATACAAATTGAGTTACATTGTTCCATATATAAATAATCAGTGATGTTCTACCTTGTGCACTTATCCATTGTTTATGAAAAAATCCTCTTCATTGTCATATGCTGTTCAGCTTCAATTTTATATTGTGTAAATAAATTGCAGTTTGATACCAATTGATCTAAAAATCTTATCCTGAATTCTGTTGCATTAGAAAACTATTTTCAGAAGGCACCTACTGTGGGCATTTTGCACTGTCGTCAGTGTTTCTCTGACAAGTTGTGTTCTTGTGCAGAGAGAATACATATGCTGCAGATGAGTCGGGAACTAGGTGCTCAAGTGCAAAAACTGAACCTGTAGAAACAGTTTCATTAGCCTCTCGTAATCAAGAAATACTGGATGGATATGATAAAAGCAGATCCAAAAATGATTCGATGCCATCAACATCAAAACAAGGCATAGACCCCAACAACTGGAAAAGCCAAGCTGGGAAAAAGCACCTTACTTATAGTGGTCCTCTCATCCCATCTAACGTTCATGGCAACTCGTTCATAGAAAGAGGACGCATGTCTGACACTTTCCATTTTCATAGAATATGACTCTAAAAGATCATTACTTCTGCTGAGTGTGGAATGCTTTAGTCAATTGTGCTTGCTTTCCACCATCATTAAATGGGGAAGTGCTAGATATCTGAAACATTAATGGGAACAAAATAAAGACTTCATGATTGACATCTGTTTACTTCAAATCATATATCAAAAAAGATAACTGAAACTCCAATCCAATAGCTTATGTAATATAAGGCAACAATGCCTTCACATGTTTGAAAACTTCTTATGCAGTGTTAAAATTTAAACTACGTCAAACCCTCTAATGTTTACTTGAGCCATCAATGGCTCTGACATGTATATTACACAAGCCTTGTAATGTTTTGTTGTGTGACATGGCTCTGACACGTGATTTTTTGGTATCTGAGAATGAGATGACTTTAATGTGTCTATATATGTTGAGCATGTCATGCAACTGTATGTCTGATACATGTTGGAAGCAGACATTGAACCCAATTTGAAGTGTCCATGTCTCACAGCTTTCTTTTCTTTTCTAGCACAGGGTATGGAATTTTTATTTGCATGAGCCATAAGGATTTTAGTTTCAATATAGAACCAGGATTATGACATCTGTACAGGAAAGGTAACTTATAAATTCTTTCCCTTGATTCCTGCTAATTCTCCTGCGACTACGAGCAGAGATGAGCTAGGTCTGTTTCTGGCTAACCTCCATCATCACTTAGTCAGTAAGGGATCAAATAAAGAAGTAAAACAGAGCAGAAAGGAGCTAATAAAAAAAAAGGTTACCTCAGGCGAAGATGTGGACATCTATTTCATGGGGGCAAGAGGTAAGAAATACCCATAAGGTGGTTGAAAATTTGTACCATCTTAGACACGCATGGGGGAGCAAGTAACATGACATGCATAGTTGAGCAAGTATGTAAAGTTTGTCCACCTGATGGTATTAGTGAAGACATTTTTGAAATAATTTAAGCATGAGAGTACGGCCATCTTAGAAATGTGAAAGGCCAAATATGCTTATACAGTTATGGTACATTTTACTGAGTGCTGAAGCTTTTAAGTTTTGTTGAATGAGTCTATGGATAATCATAGAACTTTTTGTGAAACTAGTTTTCAGAAATTCTCTCATTTGTCTTTCATACTTATCTTTTCATGGATAACTCAATGATGCGTAATTTGACTGCTTTATATTAAGATCTCTGTGTAATGTTTATGATGATCAATTGGAGAGGGAGTAGTTTCCAGCTGAAGGTTTGCAGTTGGAAAATAGAATATAAGCAAATTTTTATGGGGTGACATTTTTTAAATATATGATAGTCCAAGATGTATTAAATCTTGTTTAAACAGATCCGAGGGTGACAATCAACTAGCTTATGATAAGTCTAAACGCGATGTTCGGAAGACGCCGAACTTAAGTGGTCCGCTGATGCTTCCAAATCGTGCTTCTGCAAACAGTTTATCTGCTCCTATACGATCTTCAGGAGGTAATAGAACATAAGTAGACTTCTGAGTATGTTTATGGATTTAGCCTTTCTTCCGCCTCCTGAATTCTGAAGGATAGCATGCATATTTATTTTGTTATTGCTGTTTATTCTATTGGGTGTAGCGCATTTAGATGGAATAGTGTGACACTGAAAGAGAATCTTCCTATTCTTATAGGATATGGAGATTCATTAGAGGATAAGTCCAAGGCTAATGTGGTACAGATAAAAGGCCGATTTTCAGTCACATCAGAAAATGTGGATCTAGTGAAGGTCAATTCTCAATATTGGAACTTATTTTTACAAATTGAATCGTCTCTAATGAGAAAAAAAATACATTGCCAGGATATTCCATTATGTTCCGCTCCTCGGAGGTCCTCTCAGGTATTTCTTTTTCTTTTGAAATACAGACTTCTGTACGTAAATTGATTATCTAAACCCTGCCAGTCCATTCATCGTATTAAAATAGTGTGATTTCTCCAGAGTTCGCCATTAAGAAAATCAGCGAGTGTTGGCGATTGGTTAGTTCAGTCTAAACAAGTGGTATGCAAATTTATCTCTTTCAGTTGCAAGCATGTTACATTTAATTTTTTTTCATAGTTAACATTCTCTTTTCTGTAAACTATGTTCAATAGTTTTCGTTAGTCAAACATAATTTTCTTTTCTAGAAAACATTATCATGTTAATTGACTAAACATTGGAGACAAAAATTGTATGAGCCATAAGGAATTTGAAATATGCTAATTAATTGCCATTCTGTTGAAAGAGACGAAAATGAAAAAAATTGTGGGTTATAGCAAATGAAAGTTATGAATTTTGAGTGAAGAAAACATAACTGCCAATCTGCCATTAAGTCAAAATTGTCGAAAATGGAAAAAATCGCGGGCTATGCGGGTCGAAACATATGAAAATGGGCAGGTGTGTGTTATACAAGCCGATGATTGTGACTTTGAGGAAAGAAATCTTAATTTTCATTAGATCAAACTATTGAAAATGAACAAAAATCATGGGTTACAGCCCATGAAAAATATGAATTTTGAAGTAAGTTGATTATTTCCATTGAGTTGAAAGAGATAAACGGAAAAAATTACAGTTTATAGCCCATGAATATCGTAAATTTTGAAGAAAAATACTTAATTGTCATCGACACGAAAGGAGCAAAAATAAACAAAAATCACGGTTTATAGTCTGAGAAATCTAAGAATTTAGAAGTATGCCAATTATTTACCATTGGGTCAAAATAAATAGAAATGGAGAAAATTGTTAACTATAGTTCATGAAATTCATGAATTTTGAGAAAAAACTTTATTGCCATTGGGTCAAAATGACTAAAAAATGGATAAAAATCATGGGTTATATAGGCTATGAAAATTATGAATTTTTATATATGCCAATTGTAGAAAGAGATAATTGAGAGAGCAAAAACCCTAACTTAATTGATTCATTCAGATACTAGAGAGATATATATATAGTCATACAAATAGGGGTATGGTTAACGGGTCACAGTCCATTAACCCAATACCCAATAGACTTAATCTAACACTCCCCCTCAAACTGGAGCATAAATAGCCACCATGCCCAGCTTATCACATATAGTAGAAAACACCTTTGAAGAAGTAGCCTTGGTAAGAATATCAGCAAGTTGTTGTGAGGACGGAGTGAATGTGAGAGATACTATCTTCTTCTCCCAAGCATCTCTGACAAAATTGCAGTCAACTTCAATATGTTTTGTCCTCTCATGAAACACAGGATTCTGTGCAATATAAATGGCAGACTGGTTGTCACAGTGCATTGGCATGGATCCAGACTGAACAAAACCAAGTTCTGTTATAAACTTTCTTAGCCACACCATCTCACAAGCAGTGTGAGCCATTGCTCTATATTCGGCCTCTACACTAGTTCGTGATACTACGTCTTGTTTCTTACTTCTCCAAGTCACAAGATTACCTCCAACAAAAGTATAAAATCCTGAGGTTGATTTTCGGTCTCCCATGTCTCCTGCGTAGCCAGCATCAGAGAAAGCCAAAATATGAGTATGCCCATGCTTCTTATATAACAATCCCTTGCCAAGACAACTTTTGACATATGCCAAAATCTTCAGAGCTGCTGTCCAATGAACCTCTCTAGGTTTGTACATAAACCTGCTCAGTACACCTACTGTAAAAATAATATCAGGTCTGGTAATTGTCAAATATATTAGCTTCCCAATTAGTCTCCTATATCGTGCAGCATCATCTAGTAGAGAGGTATCATCACGCCACAAATCAACATTTGCCTCCATTGGAGTGCTTGCAGGTTTGCATTCCAAGAGACCTGCTTCTTCTAGTAGCTTGCAGGTTTGCATTCCAAGAGACCTGCTTCTTCTAGTAAATCTAGCACATACTTTCTTTGGGACAATAACAGGCCATGTTTTTTATATGCAACTTCAATCCCAAGAAAATACTTTGGCTTTTCCATGTCCTTAGCGACAAAATGACGGTTTAGATACTCCTTAGTCTCAGCTAAGGCAACAGAGTCACTCTCAGTCAGCAGAATATCATCAACATATACGGCTAAAATAACCAAACTAGTTGTTGTGCGTCGAAGAAAGACAGAGTGATCAGACTGATAACGTTGAAAACCAACATTAGAAATAACCTTGCTGAACTTATCAAACCAAGCTCGAGGACTCTGCTTTAACCCATAGATGGCCTTTCTCAGCCTGCAGATAAGATTCTCCCACTGAGCAACATACCCAGGAGGTTGCTCCATATAAACCTCCTCGTCCAAATCACCATAAAAGAAAGCATTCTTCACATCTAGTTGGTGCATCGCCCAATCTATATTAACAGCCAGAGAGAAGAATTCTGATAGAGTTAAGACGAGCAACGGGAGAAAAGGTTTCAAAATAGTTAATACCATATGTCTGGGTATATCCTTTAGCAACCAAGCGAGCTTTATATCTATCAACAGACCCATCAGGACGATATTTCAAGGTATACACCCATCTGCAGTCAACCACAGTCGCTCCAGCAGGTAGAGAGACCAAATCCCAAGTCCCTCTAGAAAGCAGTGCATTCATCTCCTCATCCATAGCCTGTTTCCAGGCGGGTACTAACAAAGCTTCCTCATGTGATCTGGGTAAAGATATAGTGGACAATGACAAAGCAAAATGACGAAATGATGAGGTGAGACGGTCATAAGAGACAAAAAAAAGAGATAGGATATTTTGGGCAAGACCGTTTACCTTTACGAAGAGCAATAGGAACATCTAAGTCAGAAGAGATATGAGGCTCGACATGAGATGGACCTGCAGCTGGAGAAGAAGAGTCAGCAGGAGCAGAGACAGGTGTATGTACTCTAGGACGGCGAGAGTATGTCAGTAGAGGCTTTGGTGCAGTAGTCATAGGAGCAGATACCGGAATAGTAGTGGGAGCCGTAGAAGATAGTGGTACCTGTGGACTGACAGAGGTAGTGGAACCAGAGAAAAAATATGGGACAAACCCAAAAAAAGTAACATCAGCAGAAACAAAATATCTCCTGGTGGTCGGATGATAGCACATATACCTTTTTTGAGTACGTGAGTATCCAACAAACACACACTTAATGGACCTAGGAGACAATTTATCCAAACCAGCAGTCAAATCTTGAACAAAACACGTACAACCAAAAACTCGAGGAATCACAGAAAAACATGTTTTAGCAGGATAAAGACAGTGGAATGGTATCAAACCATCAAGAACAGAGGAAGGCATGCGATTAATCAAATAACAGGCAGTGAGGACAGCATCCGACCACAAGTACTTTGGAATATTCATATGCATCATCAGTGTTCTAGCAACATCGAGAATATGTCTATGCTTCCTCTCAGCAACTCTATTTTGTTGTGAAGTGTGAGAGCATGAAGTTTGATGAATAATACCATTAAGAGCACAAAATTTTGAAACGTCATTTTTTATATATTCCAAAGCATTATCAGTACGAAGAATATGAACAGAAGTAGAGAACTGGGTGTTTATTTCATTATAAAAAAGTTCAATAATATGCGAGACTTCAGACCTCTCTTTCAACAAATATAGCCAAGTCATGCGAGAGAAATCAACAAAAACAATGAAATATTAAAAACCCTTCACAGAGGGAACACAAGGACCCCAGACATCAGAATGAACTAACTCAAACGGAAAACTACTGTGTTTATCGACACGACTCTGAAAAGAAGCACGATGGTGCTTACCCAGTTCACATGACTCACAACCTAAAGAAGAAAGGGAAGACTGAACAGTAACTACCGATCTAAGTTTCTGTAGTGAAGGATGACCCAGACGCCAGTGCCACAGTAAGGTAGAATCAGGCTGTGCTGCAACAAGACCAGCACCCGGCACACTGTCGTCCAAATAGTACATACCTCCTCTCTCATGCCCCGAACCAATCGTCATCCCAGTTGCTAGGTCCTGAAAAACACAATAAGAAGGAAAGAATGTGACTTTACAGTTATTGTGCTTTGTAAACTTGCTAATGGATAATAAGCTAACAGGGAATTTAGGAGCATATAACACATCAGTGAGTTTCAAAGAGGAAGTAGCATGAACTACTCCAGCACCAAGAACTGGAGAAAGTGTACCATCAGCGATTCGAATAGAGGGAAACTTATCAGAAAGATGTAAAGAGAGAAAACGATCCTTTATACCTGTCATATGGGATGAGGCTCCAGAATCTAGTACCCATGGTTCATGAGGAGAAACTATGTAAGCATCCATACCTGAAGAGGATGCATGATTAGCCAAATGACTGTTCTGAGAGAGCTCTAGCTGGCGTAACCTCTCATAATCTGCCTGAGAAATCTGAACAGTAGGAACAGTAGTAGCTGGATTACTAGAAATAGTAGTAAAAATAGGTGAGCGAGTCGACTCGGCATCGGGTACTTGGGCCCATTGAGGACGACCAAACTTCTCCCAGCACTTCTCAGAAATATGATTGGTCCTCCCACATTGACCACACTGACGTGAACCCCTATCAGAATCACCATGTCTCCCACTAAAAGAGCCACGTCCTCCTAAAGAATCACGACCACGACCACGACCACGACCACGACCGCGGCCTCTGCCTCTACTAGAGAACATGACAGACTGATCCACTGAAGGTGGAGAGATGCAGAAGTATCAGAAGAAGCACCAGTAGAGACCTGCATGACTCTGGAGAATATAGCAGTCAGTGAGGGGATGGTATCTCCACCCAATATCTGTCCTCTCACCTGGGACTGCAAGTTAGGGTGCAATCCAGAAAGAAACTTGGACACTGCCAAGTCACGGCGATATCCTAACAACGCGCCGCATCAGCTACTGTAGGCTGATGCATCTCCAGTTCGTCTATCAGTCCCTTTAACTCACCAAAGAACTCCGGAACCGACCTATCTCCCTGTTTGAGCGTAAACAGTCGCCCATAAATCTCAAATACACGGGAAGCATTCTTCTCATTTCCGTACATAATCTTCAGGCTGTCCCACATCTCCTTCGCAGTGGTTAAGAACATAACACTGCTACTAATCTGTGGTTCCGTGCTGTTGA